AGATTATGCTTTTATCCGATGATCATTCGCGAAGGAAATTTCAGTTTTACTTTGAGAAAGAAGTTTTGATAATTTTCGTTTTGTTTTATATTCGACCCATTTCGGCCCATGGATGCCCATTGAAATTTCGGCCCATGGGTACCCATTACAATTTCGGCCCATGGGCCGAATGGGCCGGGCTTGGCCCAGCCCATTGAGACCTCTGATACAAACGCAAATGCAAATGTGATACGTATCTTGTGAAATACGAACTAAAAGGAGTTTTGAAGTATATAGATTAGAAATTGGGATCAATTTTCTCCTCCCCCGCTCACATCCACCTGCCATATCCACACACGCGACCCATTGCCTAGTAACGAATTGCTCATACGACAAATTGTCGACGATGAATTGTTTTAGCACCCTCTTCCCAATCGTTCTGTCACGTATCAAATTGACACGCTTTCCGAGTGATCAATCAATTGTACATGATCGATGATATCAATGCGGAAATTACGCAACATCGAAGACAAGTGATGGGTTTCGTTTATCGAAAAGAATCGACAAAGTCTGAACTTGATATACTGAAAAGTAAAATAAAGATGTGGCTGCGAAGTATTGCGTGTGATTATGATGGATGTATGTATGTGTTTGGATGAAAAAATATTTACGCCTACACTCACATACACGCACAACTACGTCCTAGCTAAGGGTGATTTATTTGGTAAAATAAATACACGATATAGAAGTGTAATTTAGTTCATAGTTATTCTATATTTGGCGCCATCTCGGTGACTTTGTAGCCCCCTCGCTGCCAGTCACTACTGAGAATTCCTTTTCCAATGATATTGCAAAAGAGCCGATTGCCGGCTTCTTGAATCTCTGAATCTTTGTGATCAAGCAAATTTTGATTAACATAATCGAGAATATCTTTTCTTTGTTTTATAACCTCGTGCTGGGACACCGTAATATTAGCCAGAAGATGAAGGACAGTTAACATACAAACTTTGTCTTCACACTGTACAGCTCGTTTGAGCAAAACCATTAAATGATTTAGTATTTCTGAGGAAACGAGTAAATGACGTATATTAGTCATGATTGCTGCCATATTGGTTATTACACCGCAAGCGCGCCATGATACGTCGGCATAGCCTGACTGTAACGACTCGATCAATAAGGACCACTTAAGATTCATGTGGATGTATGGTTGAAGATTAGGATTATATCGACCTGTTTGCCAGAGTGCACGGAGGAAAAGAATTCGAATAGTCTCGTTTGGTTCTTTCAACAGTAAGCCAATCCGATCTTTAGATAAATTAGTCAGCAATAAATGCATCAATCTGCTCGCTTGTGACGCGTTCTTTTTAGCAGTGTCGCCAATAAATCTTAGCGCTTCTTTGCGTTGATTTTCGGTGCCAATCAGCGCTTGATGAAGAATAGTCCAGTCAGGATATATATGATTCATCATTTTGATTTGCGTGAGAAGTGTCTCCTCTGATGAACTGTTGATGTCGAGAAACTCGTAGTCGATGATACAAAGAGGATAGCATTGTTCGGATTCATAAATGGCCCATTCTTGGTTTACAAGTCCTTCATCTTTATTGTAATAATGAATAGCGTGGTAACCACGTCGGTGAACGGTAGAAGGGATGAGCTGAAGTTCCGATACTTGTTTTTCTTGAATACGACCAAGAATGCAATCAGCAAGAACAAGAGTATTTTCACCGTATTCTGTCGCCTTTTTGGCCTCTGCAAAGTAAATGGCTTTTCCAAATTTCAACTCCCCTTCGGCACCACCCTGAACATTTCTATTAAAACTCGAAGGAATGCGAAAGCCCTGTCCACTGATAGAAAGAGCAGCCTTACGCGTAGTGCCATGTAATAATGTTGAGATCTGATTAAAGCCGAGCATTCTTTTGCACTTCTCGAATTCGGCCTTCAATCGAGGATTCGATACCATTTGAACAGACTTAATGCGCAGCCGTTGCTCAAATAGACCATAGCGAGCGTATGACTCTTGTACGAACTTGATCACCTTTTGATTGATTTCCGCCTCACTCGTGCTTAATGTCGCAGTAATATTATGAAGTACGCGATCAAACCAAGCAACAGTCCAGTCCGATGGAACAGCATATGATTCGCGACACGCTGGACAAGTAGCTGTTTTGGCTTGCCCGATTAGTTCTCTAGTGCATTCTTCACATAGACGGTGTTTGCCTTTGCATGGCAAAAGCATAGGCCGGCTAAGAAGACCACGATGAATAACGCAGGTTAGCGATTCTTGAAGATCATTGTTTAAGTTAATTGCTGATGCAATGAATGCGGTAGCCATTATCTCTAAAAGTAGGAATTAGACATTTTGTTGTTTAATATATTTTACTTGCTTTAGATCAGTCGTTATTAAGTGCATAATAATTTCACTTAGACTTTTAGAGTTGGTTGTAACTAAGGATGGAAAGTCTCCTGTTTCTTTGGTTTCTGTCTCCAAAAGAGCCCTAGCACATTTCAAATGGGTTTATTGTACCTGTTTGAAAACTTTTCGATACATAGATACACGTCTATTCCTTTTTTGCAACAGATTGGGATGTGACTGAGGCTGTGGCTATGTCTGAATGCGGATGTGCGGGTATGACTGCGAGTAGTGATCTCAGTATTTCAGCTCAGGATTACCCAGGCAGACAAAACTTTCGAAAAACGCGTTTAAACGCACAATCGGGAACCGCGACTGTGATCCATTCACGCTCATTAAAAAAACGCAAGCCAAAACAGCTA